TGACACGACAGCCCCATCCTGAGAAAGAGCCGCCCTCTGGCCTCGTGCGCAGTCGTGCCAGGCTTTTGCTTCTCGGCTGCATGTGCGCGTCGCTGATGCGGAAGCCACACGCGGAAGACGGCCCTCTCGATCCACACATTTGTTGCCCGGTGCTGAGGGTGGAGAGCCCCGTTCTGAAAACGACCCCCTCTTACTCGTGTGGGTGCTGCAGGCTCCAGGACGAGGGTGCGCGGCGCTGGGAGCCATATTTTGGGAACGATCCCCCCCAAGTCTCTGTAATTGCTGCAAGCCTTTACGACGAATCTGCGCTGTGCTGGGACGGGAGCCACGTCCTGAAAACGACGCACACTATCCTTCTCTAGCTATTACAGACGTCAAGTTTCAGGGTCCTCAGTGGTGACGAAGTCTCCGGCGAAGCGCGCAGCCCGCCTTACCGACACGTCTGGGAGTGCAACCGGGATGAGTTAAGTAGACGGAGATGCAGAGGATGAAGCGGAGGAGGAGAAGGAGGAGGAGGATGAGAAGGAGGAGGATGAGGAGGAGGAGCGGATGCGGAGGCTAGGCGGACGAGCAGGAGCAGGAGGAGGAGGAGGAGGAGGAGGAGGAGGAGGAGGAGGAGAAGGACCACTGTAAACCCAAGAGTCATCAACGATGTTTGAATGCACCGTCCCTCCAAGCTCTTCTTTATAGGCCTCTACAGCGGTTCATTTCCACTGAGGAGACTGCCTTGTGGAGGAGGAGGAGGGAGGAGGAGGAGGAGGAGGAGGAGGAGGAGGAGGAGTAGGAAAGGGGGGAGGAGGGAGAGGAGGAGGAGGAGGCAGAGGAGGAGGCAGATGATGATGATGAGGAGGAGGAGGAGGAGAAGGGGGAGAAGGAGGAGGAGGAGGAGGTGGAGGAGGAGGTGGAGGAGGAGAAGGATGCTGCTGATGATGATGATGATGATGATTGATGATGATGATGATGATGATGATGATGATGATGATGATGATGATGATGATGATGATGAGGAGGAGGAGGAGGAGGAGGAGGAGGAGGAGGAGGAGGATAGGGGAGGAGCAGGAGGAGATGGAGGAGGAGCAGGAGGAGGAGAATGGGGAGAATGGGGAGGAGGAGGAGAATCATGAGGAGGAGCGGGAGCAGGAGCAGGAGGAGGAGGAAGAGGAGGAGGATGAGGAGGCGGAGGAGGTGGAGGAGGCTGAGACTGAGACTGAGACTCAATGCCAGGTCTGATGCCAGGCTTCGCCCGTCTTGGGTTTGCGCTCCGCGCAGGTTTCGAGACGCTCGCCCGGCCCGCAGGGCCAGGTCCCAGACGACCGCCCCCCAGGGCACCACGGCTCCACCCCTCGGCCCATCCAGGCCTCGGGAAAGAGCCCCCAGCTCTACGAGCCGAGTCCAACCGTGGCGACGATGGGCCCAACGGCCGACGAAAACGCTAGACTGTATACACTGACTGTATCAAGGCGGCCCGCTCAGGAGTCCAATGCGCGGGTCTCCTGCCCCAGCGAGTCGCCTTCGCAGCAGGCCCATCGAGGCGAGGTAATCGGCCAGCGCGTCGGCAAACGTGCAGGACGAGCAGAGACCGCGCACAGGCTGCAGAACGACGATCCCGTGCAGAGCCTCCTGCAGGCTGGCCCGCCCACCAGTTTCGATCCTCGAGAGGTCGAACTTCTCCATGATTATGATCAGCTGCACCATCTGCTCCGTCGCTGAAGCTTCGACGACAGATGGCGTCCGAGTCCGTACTGCCCTCGGTGAAGGCCTCCTGCCAGTCATGGCCTTGACCCCTCTCGTGGTCATCATCTTGCGAACGAGAGCCACGTGCCCCAGTATCTGTGCCTGGGCACTCGGACTCCGCGGTGTCCGCATCGGTGCCAAGGTCGCGCTCAGGCTTCAGCAGCGCCCTCGACCCCTCCACACCCGCAGAGCCCTTGGTGGTCTCGGTATCTTTGCCCGATTCGTCCCCTCTGGCCCCCTCTCTGGAAGTCCTCGCCTCCTCTCCGGGAGCCCCTGGGGCACCTGCTTGACTTGCAAGTGGGCCAAATAGAACACCCGGCCCCGGCGTGAAAACCTTCTGGATGCGCGCCACGATGCCTTCTGGGTCAGGGCGCTCACCCTCACTGCCCCCCGGACACGGGCAGGAAGAAGTGCAGCACCAATCGATGGGGCCTAAGGCAGCTCCTCCTCACCCTCCGGCAGCTCCGCGCGGCCACCGGGGTCTGAGTGTGGGTCACGCCGTTGTCCACCTCGCTCTTCGGCGGCGGCGGCGGCGGCGGCGACTCCAGCGTGTCAAACACGGTCTCGAAGACCCAGCACGCTTCGAAGTGCTCGCACCCGTGGAAGCAGAGCATCTCTGCTCCTGCCCATGCCAGCCCTGGGGCTTCGTGTCCGCCATCTGCCAGTCCCTCCATTCCTTGGACCGGTCCGGCCAGCCCTTGCCGGAGCGCTAGGCCTTGGCTTGGTCCCGCTTGAACCTGCGCGGGCGATGCATCTGCGGCCGCTCCGGCTCATACTCGATGAGCTTCACGTTCGCCTCGGACGCCCGGGCGGGCGGCGGCGACACCTCCCGGCTCCGCCGCGGCGGCGTGGCCGGCGCCCGGGGGGCCCAGCGAGATGCCGGACGCGACCTCGCCACCAGACGGGCGCCGTGTCCTCGGTGTCCGAGCTGCTGTCGTTGCGCGAAACCTTGTCCGCCTGGCTCCTCTCCTCCTGCGCGGTCAGCGCCTGCCGGTTCTTCGACTCCTCGGGCGCCGCTGTCCGCGGGGGCCCGTGGACGTCGTGCCACGGGCCGGCGCCTCCTCGGTGGAGGGACTGGGGCTTCGGCGCCTCGTCCTGCCCTCTGGAGCGCACGACTTTCACCACGGAGCGTGACCTGCTTTTCCCGCGTGCGTCGGCCTGGGCCAGCCTCACCAGTGGCTCCTGCGGCGCCTCGAATTGCTTCGTTCACTAGCAGCCTGACACCCCCCCCCCCTCCAGAAAACGGGGGGGGTACTTCCCAGTTTGAACCCCCCCTCACTCACTGCCGGCAAACGACTTCTGGGTCCCTATCACCATCCGCACCACATCCCCCACTGCTGTCCCCAGCACCACTGTCCTCGCCTCCACTGTCCCCACTGTTCCCACCACCGTCCCCACTGTCCCCACCAGTGCCCCCACCTCTGTCGCACTGTCCCCACTGTCCCCAGCACTGTTCCCACAACGGTCCCACTGTCCCCACTTTCCCCACGGTCCCAACCACTGTCCCACTGTCCCCACTGTCCCACTGTCCCCTCCGCTGTCCCACTGAGCTGTCCCACTGTTCCCACCACTGTCCCCACTGTCCCCACCACTGTCCCCACTGCACCTGTGTCCCATTGTCCCACCACCGTCCTCGCCACCGCCCTCACAACTGTCCCCACCACCAATGTCCCCACCACACCACACTCCCACTGTCCCCACACCACTGTCTCCACCATCACCGTCCCCACCACTGTCCGCGCCACCGCCCTCACAACTGTCCCCACCACCAATGTCCCCACCACACCACACTCCCACTGTCCCCACACCACTGTCTCCACCATCACCGTCCCCACCACTGTCCCACAGTCCCCACCACTGTCCCACTGTTCCCACTGTTCCCACCACCGTCCCCACTGTCCCCACCAGTGCCCCAACCAGTGAGTGTCTCACTGTCCCCCCTCTCCCAACCATTGTCCCACAGCGGTCCCGCTCTCCCCACTTTCCCCACGGTCCCCACCACTGTCCCACTGTCCCTACTGTCCCCGCCGCTGTCCCACTGTGCTGTCCCACTGTCCCCACTGTCCCCACCACTGTCCCACTGTCCCCACTGTCCCCACCACTCTCCCCACTGTACTACTGTCCCACCACCGTCTTCACCACCGCCTTCACCACTGTCTCCACCACCACCGTCCCCACCACTGTCCCACTGTCCCCACCACCGTCCCGTTGTCCCCACACCACTGTCCCCACCACCACCGTCCCCACCACTGTCCGCACCACTGTCCCACTGTCCCCGCAGCACTGTCCCCACCACCACTGTCCCCACCACTGTCCACATATCCCTACCACTGTCCAACTGTCCCGAGGAGCGGGAATCGTTTGCCGGCGGCGAGGGGGGGGGCGTTCGAACCGGTGGTGACCCTTCCCCGGTCTTCGAGGGGTGGGGAAGGAAGGAAGGAAGGAAGCGCCGGCGTCGTGCGCGCTCCACTGGGGAACCCGCCCGTGCCCTTGAGGGCGTGGCGTGGAGGCCGCAGCCTCGGAAAATGCAAGCTGGGTGCCCGTCCGTCGCTTCGGCGAGGCGCGCCTGCCGAGAAGCGACTCACGTGACCTGGCCCACGACCTCGCGGAGCTCATCAAACTGGGCCATCGTTCTGCTCTCGAACTGCCGGAGCCATTTGGGTGCGCCCTCTTTCGTCTGCTCCTTCCCGTCCTCCGTGACACTGCTCTCCTCCTTGTCCTCCTCAGCGCTCGTCTCCTCCGCAGCCTCTGTCACATTCTCCGTACGTTCCTCCTTGCCGTTTATCTCTGCGTGTAAAGCCTTCCCCTGAATATTGCCTTTGCTTGTCTCGATGTGCGCCGCGTCGAAGTCGAGCTCGACGGACAACTGGTCTGGTCGCGGATCCGCTTCTGAGATATCGTCGGAGCCTCTGGGATGGTTATGCTTCTCTGGTGAGCGTTCGTACTCAGGCTGATCTGGGGCACCATGTGCCTTACGCTCCGGGGCGGCCTCAAACTTTGGCACCCTGTACTGTTGAACGTGGCTTGATGGCTCAGCGTGCGGCAGAAGATGTTCGATCATGCTGCCCAGCTTCTGGAGCTCGGTGCGGTGCGAGCGAAATAGTAAAAGTTCTAAGCGGCTCAAGCGAGTCTGCACGTCTGCAAGATATCATGCCTGTCGCAACTTGGAGAGCCCTGCTTCTCAAGCCCACCGAATCTGTGACCAAGAGCTCCCACGCGAGAAATCAACAGTTGCAGTGAAGACTCCATCGCTTGACGTCGAAAGCATGCATGTTCGAAGTCTCTTCGCTCGCGCTGCTTCGTGCCGTCGCTTCTGCCTCGTGGGCCACATACTCGTGCTCGTCTGATCCATCCCACTGCCAGAATAAGACGAGAGAGTTCGAACCGGTAGTGACCCCCCCCTTTTCATGATGGACCGGGGGGGGGGGTTCGAACCAGTAGTGACCCCCCCGGTTTTCGAGGGGAGGGGGGGGGGACGGTTTTGGGAACCCCGAGTGACCCCCCCCGGTTTTCCGCCAGCAGCGGTAGAACGCGCTCTTTCAAAGATCAAGGGAGGAACACCCACCCAGACCCCGACAGTTGGCGTGTACTGAACGGCCCCGGGCCCTGGGCGCTTGCAAGACAGCCCTGCCCTGTTCGACTCCTTCCCTGGGAGCGCTTCCGGCACGGCCTCGCTTGTCGGGGTGGTTCTTCTGGGTGTGGATTCGGGGGCGGAAAAGAAGAGGGGGGTGATGACTAGGGGGGCGTGGATCTCATGGCGGGGGCCATGATACCGCCCCAGTTTTCATGGCGCCTCTTCTTATGTCGTTGCGCCCCTGGCCCCCCCGCTGGGCCGCGCACATGCCGCCGGTCATGATTTGCACCCCCCCTCTTGGACACCCCCGTCTTGGCCGCTCCCGATGGATTCCCCATCCCCTGTGAGAGAGGCGCCCTGCTCCAGGGCCGCGGCGCGAGGGCCCGAAGCCAGCAGCGCGCCGCGCGACGCCGGGCGGCCTGCGCGCACGCGCGGGGCGGGCGGCGGAGCTCCCGGAGCTGCGCGCGCGGAGCCACTCGGCATCGCTCGGACGTGTGCATTTTTTCCTCGGCGACGGCCATCGAGGACCATCCTTGATCATTTGGCGAAAAAAAACACGCACGACATCGAAAAGTACACGAGGAATGGACGTCCGAGCGGTGGAATGCCACGCCTTCCCCAGAGGCTGAACGAGAAGACGGACAGCGGCAGCTACGTCATCCTGCGCGCCGCCCGCGCCGCGCGCCTAGGGGCGCGGGCGGGCCGGCTGAGCCGCGTTGTGAAGGCGCGCCCGCCCCGCCCCCCCCCCCCCCTCGCCGCCCCCCCGGCGGCGTCGCGCGGCGCGTCGGTTTCCACCGAGGGTTGGAGGGAGGGTGGGGGAGACAAGCTAGGTGCGCTCGCGTCATATCTGACATCCTACCCCTCCCTCCCATCCCTTACCATGGCGCAGATCCCCTCTCTACTCGCACAGTCGGATGTCGAGCAGGGCAATGATCCCGAAAGGGTACGCGATGCATTGTAGAGCACGGCATGGCATGGCGTAGAAGAGCCCCGCAAAGAGTAGTATGTCACAGGAGGGGGGGGGGGGAGGACGGGCATCTGGCTCGGAGTGGATGTCCGCAGAGACCGACGCCGGGATCGGCGTGCCGAGGGTGCAGAGGCGTGGCCTCCGAGAGGCTTCTGGGGGCCTCTTGGGGAAGCCTCAGAAGCCTATTGTTACCAGCCTGGAACATATCCCTATCCCTATGCTGGGCACCTCTTCATCACGATGCCAATCTTAGGGATTCCCTTATTTCGTAAGGGCGAATCCCCAAGATTGTCGTCGCCTTTTGGCGTGTCAATCTTAGGGATCGGGATACGTTCGAGGCTGGTAATATTGGTAGCACTTTGGGGACCTCCGTGACGCGTATGGGTTATTCGAAGGCGATCAATATGAGAGGAAGGCTAAGGGTTGGCCGACACGACCGTGGCCCGACTCCTTAGGGCTCCGTTGCCAGCATCCCCTGCGCCTGCGCCGCTTGCTCCGCCGCCGCCCGTGCGCCCTCACTGAGGAGCTGGGCGGCGGGTGTCGGAGCCACCGGGCGCGCTGCCGCCTTCCTCGAACTTGTGGGGTGGCGGATCGAGGAGGAGGGCGGGAGGAGGAGGAGGAGGAGGAGGAGGACTTGAGGCCACATGGCTCTGGGGCGCGCTGGCCCCGTTCATGGGCCCAGCTTCCTGGAGTCACATCCCCGAAGGGCACAGTGGCACGATGGCAGGAGGAGGAGGAGGAGGTGGCGGAGGAGGTGGCGGAGGAGGAGGAGGAGGTGAAGGCAGAGGGAGGAGGAGGAGGAGGTGAAGGTGAAGGCGGGAAGGCGGAGGGAGGAGGAGGAGGAGGAGGAGGAGGAGGAGGAGGAGGAGGAGGAGGACGAAGAAGGAAGGATGAATTTGCCAGGGTCGGGGTTTCAGGTCTTGTTCGGGAGGTTTCGGCCATTCGGGCATCCTCAGGAAGGTGGACGGACGAATGGAAGTGTCGCCGCTTACGGTATTCCCAGTGGCACATCCAGAAACGATGCGCAAGCGAACAGTTGGGAGATGGAATGTGTGTACGCGTGCGTTGAAGCACAACTGCCACACATGTTGAACGTGGAATGCTGTAGGGGCCTCCTGAAGGCCTCTTGGGATCGTCTCAGAGGTATCTTGGGACCCCGTTTGGAGCTTTTTGGCCCATTTTGATTTTTGGGGCACTGTTGGGGCCGAGCGTGGCCCTCTCGACGCCCCTCCCGTTTTTTATCCGATATCGTTGGGCAGTTGTTTCTTATAGTCTGGCGCCGTTTTTGGCTCTGGTTCCAGCTCTGGTTTCGATCCCAGAGCCGTTTTTGTAGTTTCGGAGAATCATGCTTGGTTTCCGAGTTTTTGTTTTCACTGTCAATTTTTGAGCGGCCTTACGGCCTGTGTCGCCGACCTTGCAAGATGACCCTCACGATGCAGAAGGTGTTCGGAGGTGTTCGGGGAGGCGGTAAGGCCCCCAAGAGTTGTACTGCCAAGAGGTCTCGAAAGGGAGTCCAACGAAAAAGTTAATAATTTTAATAATAGTAATAATAATAGAACTGATAATACTAATAATGCTAATGATAATAATAAGAAGAAGAAGAATACTAAGAATAATAATAAGAATAGTAGTAAGAATAATAATAATAATAATCATAACAATAAGAATACGAAGAAGAAGAGGAGGAGGAGGGGGGAGGAGGAGGGGGAGGAGGAGGAGAAGGATTGTGGTCTCCGTGTGTTTCTGAGGGCTCACGGCTGCATCTTGAGGCTACGTCCGTCGGACCTTCTTGGAGCAACCGGGCGGCCGTTTTCGGCGTTCCTCGGATCATCATCGCCTGCTCTGAGTGCATTGTGGGCTCCCTCTGTTGCAAGACTATCCCAGTGCGACCCTACCTAGGAGTTGGAGCATCTAGGAAGGTAAGCTAAGCTAAGCTAAGATAAACCTGAGCTAAGATGAAGCTAAGCTAAACTAAGATGAAATAAGCTAAGCTAAGATGAGATAAGCAACGCTAAGCTAAGGGGACGTAACTGGGGGAACCGCGGGGCGGATGCCGGGGGAACCGCCCGGGGCGGTTTACACTGCCTGGCCCCTTTAAGCTAGAGGGTAAGAACCCTTCTAGGCAGAGCCTAGGTAGGGAACAACGGCATCCTTTCCATTTTGGAATCCACTTGTCTGTCTCTTGGAAGCAATCTTGGCCGTCTCGGAGTGTATCCTGGGCCAGGTTAGCTGTTGTGCAGGCCGCTTTGAGTAGTTTGGTGGCTGTATGCGGGCACTCTTGTTGCTTCTTGGGTTTGCTTGGCGTTGCTGTGGAGGCTCTCCAGGCCCAGTGAGGCCGTAGGGAGCCGGAACGGGCAGGAACGCAAGCATCATTGAACGGCATGGTGAAGATCACTGACTAGCGGCATTCTGGGAGCCTTCGGGCCTGTTGGGAGCTTCTTGGGGTCGTCTTAGGATTTCCCTGGGGCTTCTTGGGAGCCTCTTGGAGCTTTGTGGGAGCCTCTCGGAAGTTTCTTGAGGCCTCCCTGGGGCGTCTTGGGGCGGTCAGGTCGAAATGTCGATTCGCGGTCGCGCTCTGGGCCTCCTTGGGGGAGCGTTGTTGGAGCGCTCTCGGATCGTCTTGAAGGCCGCTTGAGCCGTGCTGGTTGTTCTTTGCAACAGTCGCGGCGCCTTCTGGAGGACGCCTTGGGCAATTTTGGGGCAATACTTGGGTATTGGAGCGTCGGGAAGCCGGAAAGGAAGAAACTCATTGACATTTCTCAAAACTGACGGGGTTTCAATACATTTTGCCTCGTGGAGCCCTTGTGTGATTGCTTTTAAAGGGCGTCTTGGGGTCTTGGGGCGTATTGGAGGCGACTTGAGCCGTCTGGGAGAGACGGGGGGACGTTCATTCTGACCCGGGATCCCCCTGGGACCCACCCCGGGTGGGGACGGGATCAAAGGGAACGGTCCCCATTCGATTTGATTATGACTGCGATTGCCACATGGCTGGACTCAGCTCGGGTTAGCCGGCTCGGCGTGCTCAGAGGGCCTAGGGAGAGACTCCGGGAATGGAAGAAGACATTGAATGACATGTCATCTTTGAGGACCACCCAGGGACGATGGAATGGACCCAGGACCTCCTCACACTCGCCGACAGGCTCGGCAAAAGATCAAGATTTTGTAGAATCGGTGAAAACACGGCCCTGCCGTTCCGAGAACCTTGAAGACCGTCGGGGCGAACAATGCGAGAAGGCGAACGCCACTTGGCCTCTCGTGGGCATCCCCTGAAGGCCCCGTGCCCGCTCGGAGCGCCGTGGGGCCCGGGGCCCGTGGGCCGTGCAGGAGGCCCCCTCGAGCCGTTCTGGTGGGTGTCCTGGGCGCCCGGAGCCGCCCGAGGGCGGCGCTGAACCGCGCCACAGGCAGGGAGCGTTGCATTCCATGTCTACGACCGCCGCGTCGTCGTCGTCGTCGTCGTCGCCGCCGTCGTCGTCGCCGTCGTCGTCGTCGTCGTCGCCGCCGCCGCCGCCGTCGTCGTCGCCGTCGTCGTCGTCATCGTCGTCGTCGTCGTGCTGCTTCCGGCGGCGCTGGCGGGGGAGGGGGGGACGGGGCGGGAGAGGCGCGGGGCGGGCGCGGAGCGGGCGCGGGCGGGAGGCTCGGGGGGAAGGGTGCGGCCGGGGGAGGGGGGGGGCGGTCGGCGGCGAGCCTCCCGGGCGACCGCAGCACGTGGAGCAACGGGGGCGTCGGATGGAGGTTGACTCGGGCCTGTGCCTCTACAGGAGGGAGACGCAGGACGAGTGCAAAGATAGTCTGGGGACGATCTTCCTGTGACGGTTTTTTGTATTTTTGAGGTATGTTTTGACCATCTTTTATTTTGCGCCCCAAATCCCCCTTTAGAGGGACAGGCCCGACCTAAGGGTAGCGACGGGCCTCGCTTCCGTGGGAAGTCGCGGATTTCCGCCTCCGAGCGAGGCGGCACCGGCCGCATCTTGGGGAGGGCACCGCCCCCGATCCATGTCTGCGCGCCCCCGAGAGCTGGGGGGGCTGGGGCGGCGGGGGGTGGGAGTGAGAAGGGGCGGGCCTTCTCAGAAGGCTCGGAAGTCCTCCGGCCTTCTGGGAAGTGTTCTGAGCCTGCCTTGAAAGCGCAGAAATCTTCCCAGAAGGCGCGAGGGCTTCGGAGAAGTTCCGCCGCCTGCTGAGGAGGCCTCTGCTTCTCATTTCTCTCCCTCGCTCGCCGCCGAAAGGGGGCGGGGGGGGGACACGTAGACGGAGGTGTAGGGGAACAGACAGTGACATAAACACAAAAGTTCGGATGTCCGCGCTGATTCTCACATCGGCGCTCGACCCCATTGCGCCAGAGGCGCTGCCAGGGGGCCCCAGCGCCGATCCGAGGAAGCCGCGCGGACCTCCGAGTTTCATGTTTGTGTCATTGTTTCGTTCTCTACGGTTCGAGGAGGGAAATGGATGCACCCCAATGTTTGATGTTCCCGCCGGATCTGCGACAAGTGCGTATACTGTCCCGTACGTATGCGGCCACTGTTCGCGTCTTGGATCGTGTCGTCGTGCTCATTCTTTGCTGGGAGCGGCAACTCTTGGAGAACGGCAGCCCGTCTGTTCAGCATTCGTGTGGAGAAGTGCTGCACATCCCCTCGTGCTGACTTTCGTGCCCCTCTCCCCGCCCTTCGGCCTCCTCTTCGCGGCGTGCGCGGCGGAGTTCTGTGCGGAGAGGACTTCGGGGGTGGACGTGGACGTTGATAGGAAAAACAACTCCTGCCTATTCTCAGGAGGGGAAAAACACACAGACACAATTACTCGTCGATCCCCCGGGAAATATGGGGAAATGTGGGAAGCGGCGGGGAAGAAAAAAACCCTGTGTGTATTTATCTGTGTGTCCTTGGGCCCCTTCATATTCGGCGGGAGAACCCATGCTGGAGTACATCAACTCTGTGGTCGATCCCCGCTTCGAAAAGGCGAGGGGGGGACGGACGGGGCGGCGCCGCCAGGTCCTCCGGTTCCTCAGGCCGCAGGCCGACGAGGGGGGCGCCGACCAGGTGCAGGCGCCTGGCGCGCGCGCGGTTGCCGCGCCCCGCCCCGGCGGGTGCGCCTCTTGCGGGAGGGGCAGACACGCACAGACACATTGAATGGGAAAAGGTGGGGGGTCCTCCTCGTCCTCCTCCTCCTCCTCCTCCTCCTCCTCCTCCTCCTCCTCCTTCTCCTCCTCCTCCTCCCCCCTCCTTCCCCCTCCTTCCCCTGCTCCTCCTCCTCCCCCTCCTCCCCTTCCTTCCCCCCGTCCTCCTCCTCCTCCTCCTCCTGGGATTTATGTCTATTTGTTGCGAGGGCCTTACGGCCGGTGCCGCCGACCCTGAATGGCGACGACGACGACGACGACGACGACGACGACGACGACGGCGGCGACGACGACGACGACGACGAGCGCTCTCGGGGGCCTCCTGGGGGTAGTTTGAGTGAGAACATATGGGGTGTCCTGGGATCCACGTCTACGGTAGGTCCGTGTTGTGTCGACCGGCGGCGACCCCGCCAGCGGCGTTCAGTTTTGGACGCAGCGGGCGACCCAGAATCGTTCGATGTGCCACGATTCGGACGTTTCGGAAACGGCGGATCCTTCCAGGTGGAAGGATCCCCGCGGCGTCCGAGACCAACGCCGAAGTCGACACGACGCGAACCTGCCGTAGTGTTGTCCCCCCAGCCATCCTGTGGTCTTGGTTTTGAGTCGGGCGTGTCCCTCTACTGAAGGAGTATTCAAAATCAGTCAAAAAATACTCAGTGGACGAATTGTTCGAACGAGTTTTTCATCTTGCTTGACATTTGTTTGACATTTGTTTGACGATTTTTTATTTTTCGTTCAACATCCGCCTGTAGGGGGACATGCCCGACCTAATCTTGGGCCCCTGCTATTTGAACACAGGCGGACCGAGGTAGAAGGCCGAACCTGCCGTAATCATTCGTGTGTCCCAGGGCCCCTTCGCTCTTGGCTCGGATGTGGAACGATTCCGACGTGTTGGAAACGGCCGATCGCTCCAGGCGGAACGATCCCCGCGGCGTCAGAGACCAACGCCGAAGTCGGCACGCCGCGAACCTGCCGCAAGAGGAGGAGGAGCAGGAGGAGGAGGAGGAGGAGGAGGAGGAGGAGGATGAGGAGGAGGAGGGGGATGATGAGGATGATGATGATGATGATGATGATGATGATGATGAGGAGGAGGAGGAGGAGGAGGAGGAGGAGGATGAGGAGGAGGAGGAGAAGCAGGACGTGTCACTTGTGTGTCCCAGGGCCCCTCCGCACTTGGCTCCGCCCTCTGCGCGCCCCCGCGCGGCTCGGAGCGCGCCCGGCCCGCGGCGCGCTGGCGCGGCGGCGGCCGGAGCGCGGGCGCCCAGGGCCGGTCGGAGGATGCGCCCCTAGCCGAAGCATCCTCCTTTCGCTCCCTCTCCCACGCCCTCTTCCCCCCCTGCTCCTCCTCCTCCTCCTCCTCCTCCTCCTCTTCTCATTCGTCCTCAGTTCTCCTCTCCTCCTCCTCCCCTCCTCCCTCCTCCCTCCTCCTCCTCCCCATCTCCTCCTCCTCCTCCTCCTCCTCCTCTCTCCTCCTCCTCCTCCTCCAGCTCCTCCTCCTCCTCCTCCTCCTCCTCCTCCTCCTCCTCCTCCTCCATCTAGGAGCAACGCTGGCACAAGACCCGCCTTAGCTCCGACCGCGCGTTTGCTCATCGAGCCCCGTGTGAGCAGCACGTACAGGGCCGCGCAGCGGGGCTGGGCCGACTCGGGCCAGAGTTTGCATGAGGACACTCCTTATTTGTTGGTTTCCGACGACGAAAATTATCTTTCACAACGTGCAGAGCGCCGAGTTCGGGCGCTTGGAAGAGATTTCGGAGAACACGGCGACGAACGACTTGGTTATCTGTATTGGCACTGGCAAAGCAGCCCACATCGAGACGGATATTACACAATGCCAAGTATCTCAGCATCGAGCAATTCAGTTCGGATGGGAAAGAAAAAGAGTATCGAACCGCTCATGCGGACTCGCCCTCTTGTATGGGCAACGGTTGAATGGAACAGTAAATGATATGCAAGTGCCACTTAAGTCTCGTGGGCTCTCTGGCAGACTGGGACTAGTTACGTTTTATTTGGGAAGAATGCGGCTTGCTGTTTTTTTTATCGTCTACCTACCCCCCAAAGGAGTTCCTGCCAAGATTCTTCAGACCACCGTCACATCGGCGCTGGGTGGTTGGATCCAGCAGGAGATGAACAACATGGGCGGCAACTTCCTCTGTCCCATCATCGGTGACCTCAATTGTGCTCTCGGCGTCAGGACGGATATCACGGGCAGGAAGTATGTGCAAAACAAACGACGAGGTCGGCACCCGTGAGCCGGCCTTGGAAGGTAAAGTTTCAGTTGTGATACGAGATCTCTTGGTTGACAACCACATGGCAGTTGCAGACACGTTCTGGCAGTCATGTGCGACGTTTTTTTTTCAGGGTATGCATCGAAGTAAGATCGACCACATCATCATGCCGCAGACCGGATAATCGGCTCAACACGCTCGGCGGCCTGGGACGGCGGGTGCAAATGTTTGTGTCGACTCACCTACATGATCATTTGCCAGTTTTGGTAGAAATGGACGTTGGAGTTACGCGGGTACACCAGGCACAATTCACTCCGCTCGCAAGTCGTGATGCGATGATGGCAGCGTGCTCCAAAGGACACCGAAGACAGGGTTTTCTGGAACAGGGCGAGGGCAAGGCACAGCAGATTTCGGAAAACGAGTGGGGACAGGTATGGGACAGGGGAGACGTACAGCGAACATGGAAGGTTCTTGTCTGGATGCATCAGAGAACGCATCACCGAGCATTTCCCACGACAAGGAAATACAATCATCTAATATGAGCAAATGCGAGAACAGAGGATGCAGTTGATTCGTGAGCGAGGTGGTTTGCGGACACGCTTGCACGCTACAGGAAGCAAAACTTTTGAACGCGATGGCTCCAGCGAGTTCGACCACACAGAGCAGCCTTTGAAGACGATCACGAGACGCATGCAAGAACTTAGAAGGAAACGGCATATCGAGAAGACGAACACGTTGGTGGAGGAGATTCGCAAAGCTTGGCGCAAGGGGAAGATATCAGAGATGCGCAGGCTGAAAACGACGCTGGCGGGCACTGGCAAAGGTCAAAAACTACGGTTTATGTTTTCTGCTAGACAGAAAATGATGACGATGGAATGGGAACAGGATTAACCAAAACCCCTCAGGACGGAGGAATGAACTGCACTCGCCTGAAGTGGGAAGAATGGATTTCTGATCGCAGTTTTTCCCACCTCACCTTCACCAGCCTCCGGAACTCTTTGAGCTTATGCGCAATGACATAATGGGGCAGATAGGGTACTTACGTCGGGCACCTAACAGAAGGGCTGGGCCAGCATGGGGTGTCTTGGCGGAAGCTCTTGGTATGCGTACCGGTCATCGAATGTACCGTTTCTCAATGCGACGAAGATACACTCCAGAGACATTTAGTAGACGGTGCACTGATTTGTTGGCGCTTATCTAGTTGTTGGTTTCGCGCCGCTCACTGCTATGAGACCGCAGTCGTTCGCGCAAGCTAAGAACCACGGGAAGCTCGGCATTAGAGGCCAACGGGTTCTCCACTGTTTTGACGCATTCGGAATGTCGCTGTTCGGACGCTTGCATCGAGTATCGCGCCGCCCTGTCCCACCGCATGTCGGGCGCGGAGGATTGCGAGGCAAAAGGAGGGGATGTCTCTTGTGGCTCTCGGCAGCATGCTGGAGATGCAGGGATGGAAAACTAAGTCGCGCGCTCTCGAACTTCGGCGGCACGAACGCTTTCGCATGCGCGAGCCGAAAAGCACTTCGCGAGCATCACGCACAGCGCGGACGGAGCGAGAACATGGGCCTCATGGACTAAGCAATAGACATGGCAACCATACATGCAACTGGCACCGACGGTGAGATCGACCTCCCACCCCACATCGGGACCATTATGGGGCACGCCATGGCCGCGGGGGACTGCGCGGACGTGCACCCCCCCGCAGTAGTTCGATGGAACGATGAGTTAGCAACCGAAGATATAAGTTATACCTGGCTCTCGGGCCGATAATTGCAGCGGAAAAGCCTAGATGTGCAAAGTCGCTGAGCGCTCCCCATAAGGGGGCCCGATCCGCGTGAGGGGAGCGCCGGTTCGGGCGAGGGCAAGAGGGCGTTGGAGACGGAGCGAGGGGGGAGACGGCGGGCAGCGGCAAGAAGGGGCGTGCGGCGCCGCGGATTCAGAGCGAGTGCCCGGCAGGCTCAGGGCGCTTCTGACGTTAGTGCTTCCTTTCCTTGCATCCCCCGCGCCGTGGCCTCCCTGGTGCCTCGGGGGGCCCGCCCCCGCGGCGTGAGACCCCTCTGGGAACGTGGGGATTGTGATGATCATGGCTATGATGATGACGTTGATGGTGGTGGTGATGACGACGGCGACGTTGCCCATGATGATGATGATGATGATGATGATGATGATGATGATGATGATGATGATGATGATGATGTTGATGGTGATGTTGATGGTGATGAATGGTGATGATGATCATGATGGTGATGATGATGATGAGGATGGTGATGCTGATGATGAGGATGATAATGATGATGATGACGATGGCAATGATGATGATGGTGATGATGATGATGGTGATTAGAATGATGATGACGATGATGATGACGACGATAATAATGATGATGCTGATGATGATGATGATGATGCTGATGATGATGATGCTGATGATGGTGATGATGATGATGGTGGTGGTGGTGATGTTGATGGTGATGTTGATGGTGATGAATGGTGATGATGATCATGATGGTGATGATGCTGCTGCTGCTGATGATGATGATGATGATGATGATTATGACCATGAACATGGTTTTAACTGTGATGAGGGCGATGGTGATGGTGATGGTGATGACGCGGCTGATGACGATGATGCACTCAGGTTCCCTTTCGCGAGAAACATTGCGATCTGACAGTGGTCTGACGTCCGATCGTTGTCAGATTGGTGTTCGTTGCGATCGGGACCGATCGCGACCGACACCTATCTGATCGTCACGGATCGCGACCGATCGCTACCGATCGCGACCGCTCGGGGACCATTCGCGACCGATCCGCTACCGAAGGAAAAGGATGCGGAGGAAGGTGGAGAGAGAGATGGCCGGAGGATGAGAAGTATGAGTAGGAGCAGGAGTGGGAGGGGCATACCGGGGAGCACAAGCAGCGGGGGGAGCAGGAGTTCTATCAGTCTCGTCGTCGTCGTCGTCGTTGTGGTCGTTGGAGTCGTCGTCGGCGTCGTCGTCGTCGTCGTCGTCCGGTGGAGGTGGCGAAGGTCATCTCCAGCAAGCTGCAGGACGCTCTCTCCACGAGGAGACGCGGGAGCGGGGCCGGGGTGTCCGGGTTTTAAGTGCCAAAGACGAGCTGGTCACGAGCCCTCCCTCCACCTCCATTTCCAGGATGGAGGACGAGGGAGGAGGAGCAGGATGATGATGATGATGATGATGATGATGATGATGATGATGATGATGATGATGATGATGATGATGATGATGATGATGATGATGCTGATGATGAGAATGATGATAATGATGATAATGAGGATGAGGATGAGGATGATGATGCTGATGATGATGACGATGCTGATGCTGATGCTGATGCTGATGCTGATGCTGATGATGATGATGATGATTGTGATGATGATGATGATGATGATGATGATGATGATGATGATGATGATGATTATGATGATGATGATGATGCTGATGATGATGCTGATGATGAGATGGAGATGATGATGATGATGATGATGATGATGATGAGATGATGATGATGATGGATGATGATGTGATGATGGTGATGGTGATGGTGATGGTGAATGGGATGGTGATGTGATGGTGATGATGATGATGATGATGATGAGATGATGATGATGCTGATGATGATGGTGGTGATGATGATGATGATGAATGATGAGGATGACGACGATGAGGAGGAGAGGAGGAGGAGGAGGAGGAGGAGGAGGAGAGAAGGAGGAGGAGGGAGGGGGAGGTGCAGAGGAGGACGATGAGGACGAGAGGTAGAGCAGGGAGGAAGAACGATTAAGGAGGAGGAGGGGGAAGAAGAAGAGGAGGGGGGTGGGAGGGAGGAGGGAGGAGGGAGGGGGAGGGAGGGAGGGAGGGAGGGAGGGTGGGAGGGAGTGTGGG